ACTTGATAGGTATTAAAATCAGGCCGTTTGTAACCATAATGACTATATTGGTTGGACCACTTGAAGAACGAACTGAACTGGAACAGTAACTTTTCTCATGTCATCATGTGAGATTCAAAACATTGAAAGAAATAAATACTGTTCGTTGAAATGGATCAGAGAACATTATAATGGCATATTTGACGCTTAATGACACATGTAATGACAATAAATATATAATCATTATGATAGTTAACTCATGACCAGACACATCAAACTGGTACTGATAGATTTATATCTAATACGTAAAAATGCAGTATTTCTTAGTACCTGAAATAGGATTACACAAATTCGGAATGAGATGTTTTAATCTGAAATCAAATTATTAGGAAGCAGTTTACTAACGTAGAACTTACATATTCTTCAAAAGTTTGGTCATTCGCAAACTGAATCAGATCTCACTTATACTGCAGTAAATAATATGGGCATACATAACGGAACATACCACTTAAGTGATAACAACTACCTGTTTATTGAATAGAGCGGCATTTTGATGTACATCGTTCAGGATAAACAAGCGGATTGAATGTTGATTGATTCCATCACTTTGACAGTGGAGTGGATTTCGACTTTGCCAAGCTGAAGTTGATTTACAGCTAGAATAGGTCAATCAGCTGTTCAATTACCTGTTTACAATTTGTTGACCTTACCCTCCTACTGCCCCATCCAACGATGTGCTACTTGCTAAATTATCTGTTAATTTGCTGGTTGATATTATGCATATATGCTTCTTTTCACCTGGTTGTAGTAACGTTTATATTGATAACGGTGTTGGAATAAATATGGAAACTCCCCTCTATGCATCAACAAGAAATTCGCATTTGTAAAGTCGTACTTTAAGAATGTGGTGGCCTCCCATTTTGCCAGTATCATTGTCAAGCAACTACTTAAAGTTAGTGGTGCAACAAAGGGGGATTAGTAGGGGATTCAACATTTTACAAAATTTACAAAAATATATACGATTCATGTTATATTTAATGTTCCAGATATACAAAAACAAACAAATTATACATATATAACGTAATAGTTTATAGTCACATAATGTTTCTTTACATTCTTATCATTTTAAGCAGATGATTCGTGTTATAAATTTAGTTACAGATGATACATATATAACTTATAATCATGTGATGTCATTTTAATCAAATACAAACACAATACAAATATTTACAATCCCACTAAGTGGGAGACAGCATAAGAAATTGATTATTGAAGCTTCAAATTGTGAACACTTATTGATTAAAATTATTTTGCATGTGGTGAACACTGCATGGCTCACCACGCTCAGAAACGGTTCACTCTCACTTCGCCAGAGTCTTCCTAGTTTGATAACAAATTAGTTATATTCATTCTTGAATAGGAATCTATACCGAAACGTCGCCATTGTTAAAATAAAGAAGTTTATCATCCATAAAATTTTCTCATCTCAAACTAATATTTAGCGTGGATTTCGAAAATATCCAAGTACCACTGACCATTTAGTTCTATGAGAGACATTTGTAAAAAATACAAATACCAATAACCAACATACAGTGTCTGTCTTTTTGTACGTAGAAAAGGCATACGACACTACAAGGAAACGTGGCATTATAAAAGATTTACATGATTTTGGATTACGAGCCTATTTGCCTCAGTTCAAATCCAAGTTATTAAGTGCCAGGCAATTGCACGACCGCGTGGGCTCTACCCTGTCTGATCATTATAATCAGGCTGTCCCACAAGGCATTGATTTTTCCATCACAAAGGATAAATATGTCAATGTAAAGACTGTAAGAGATATTTTAATAAGTTAATTATCAATTAATTATTGCATTTTAAAAGAAATAGAATTGTTGCATAAATATATTATGTTTTGACATACATGTTTTGTAAATAAATTCTAGCATATGTTTTATAATTGGTAGTTTCGATTATCAACTGAGATTGTTAGTGGTTGTATCCTCAGTGGGGTTAAGGTACTGTAAAATCATTGTCCTCCTTAGAGGATACGTAAGTCCCAAAAGCTTTAAAGGAAATTTAAACTTACCAGATTTTTTAAATGTCGTATTTTCTTGTTTTTAAATTACGGCTAAACTTTCCTCCAATCGCCAGCGGCTGAAGGGATGGTGTAAATCCATCTAGGGTCCATGCAGATAGCGAAGGCACTGAATTGAGTGAGTGAGTTTAGTTTTACGCCGCACTCAGCAATATTCCAGCTATATGGCGGCGGTCTGGACCTGACAGTGCAGACAAAACAGCATAAACATCGATCTGCGCAATTGGGAACCGATGACATGTGACAACCAAGTCAGCGAACCCAACCACCCGATCCCGTTAGTCGCCTTTTACGACAAGCATGGGTTACTGAAGATCAATTCTAACCCGGACCTTCACGGACGACGGTACTGTAACTCCCCATGGTACCTAGTATGGTGATCTACCTTCAGTTGTTGGCGATCTACAGCCTGGTTTTATATTGTATTGTCCATAATATTTGTTGATATTTTTAATGTTACATGCTAGTTTTAAATCACTATCTGTGATAATCTAGTTATTTTACTGTCCTTCGTCGACAGGTGTTATTGATAATTTAATTGCGTTTCTTATGAATTCACAACTGTCACGACATGGCTGAAATATTGCCGATGTCACCATAATTCTTCACTCACTCACCAACTCACTCACTCACTCACTGTGAGTATTTACAATTTATACTATATGTGCTATATTCCAAATGTCCACCTTGCTAAATTGGTGTGTACGCATTAAAGTTTGAAGAAATGGCACTTGGTACATCTTTAGAATGTATTGGGACACCCCCACGAAAAATATATCTCACGTCTACCACACACCGAGAGTAAGGAAATAATCACACCAGCGTTATGGAGATGAATGCAAAGGGAAACGGCATGCAGCTCACCACTGTGACGTCACAGTCCGATCTTTGCCGAGGCTGGAACTACGACATGCATACGTGCAGTTTGTGGAGTTAGAGCAGTTGTTTGGTGCTGGTTAGATAACAATAAAATCACAAATGAATGTTCTTTTAGTGCCAATAAATATATACTAGCCACATAAAGAAACCGTGCATTGTCAAACTAGTATCTCAGTTGATAAGTACGATAACAATGCCAAAGGTACATATAAACTTTAATGGAGGGATAATGAGACCATAACAAGTCGGGAGAATTTCAACTGAAAAGTCAATCACAATGACGTCACGAGCCCACAAGCGGGACAGGGATCAAACGACCATGTCACAAGCTCAATAACGGGTATGTCCACCATCGGCATTGTGAACAGCAGTGCATCGACGACGCATAGAGCCTATCAAACGTGCAAGGAAGGCTTGTGGGATGTCACGCCAGATTCTCTCAAGTTCTGTTGCAAGGTCAAGGACGTTATCTGGCGGATGAGGAAGACGGCGTAGACGTCGATCCATCTCGTCCCAAACATGCTCTATCGGGGAGAGATCCGGTGAATTTGCAGGCCAAGACAGTTAGTCAAAGTTGTGGTGTTGCAAGAAATCCATAGCAACCCTTACCGTATGAGGGCGGGCATTGTCCTGTTGGAATGTTAACCCAGGGCCACGACGTTGCAGAAAAGGAATTGCCACAGGTCGAAGAATCTGATCCCTGTAGCTCACACCAGTTACGTTGCCCTAAAAGGAGTTCTTTGGCGTGCTGTTATTCCACCCCAAATCATCACGGAACCACCACCAAAGCGATTCCTCTCCAAGACACAGGCCTGTGCATAACGTTCTCCCACGCGTCTTTTGGCACGTTGACGTCCATCACTATGGGAAATGTTAAACCTGGACTCATCTGTAAAAACAACATTTCTCCACCAAAACAAGGGTCTGCGGACATGATTTCGGCACCACATTCAGCGATCTTGTCGATGACGTTGTGTCAGGATAGGCCGTATGGCGGGAAATCGTGGTCTGATCCCGTTGTCGAACTGTGTTTGGGTGGATACGGCGAAGTCCTGGGATGGTTCGGGCAGTCATCACTGCAGTCTGAAACCTGTGACGAAGATGGGTCACCCTTATCCATATTATGTCCTGTCTTGGAGTTGTTACACGTAGACATCAAGAACGTGGCCGATCGATGACGTCATTTGTGGTCTGGTAGCGTCTGACCAGTGCAGAAATGGTGCTCCGGTGCCAGTGGAAATGTGCAGCCACTTGTCGTTGAGACATTCCCCCACGGACCATCCCAATGGCCTCATGACGTTGTGCAGACGTGAGCCTTGGCATGCTATGCGTTTCAATAGCCGTTTATTTTTTTGAACGATCGCAAGGGCAGAGGTTGAACATTCCAAAGTGACAGTATTGTGTGGCATTCATTTGCTCTGTTTCTCTTTCCCGGAATGCACGTGCAACAACGTATTGCACGTCTCAAGGACGAACCCACTGACGTCACGGAACGTGGCACGTGCATGCATTTTGGATTCAGGTCACTAATCTCTGAGTTTAAATCCTTATGTGTCTACACAGGTTTGATAAATTTGGATTTTCAATTTTTGTATGCACAGTTTCTTTATGTGCCTAGTATACTTTGTTTGTCCATTTAACATATGTTAAGAAGTGTACATTCAATATATCTCGATTAACCGGAGCTTGTTTTTGGAGGCGACTAAGGGAACTAGAACAGTTATTTGACTGCATGGCATCCACTTACACAGGTCGAGGGTCATGTTTACAATCCGTGGATAATCTTATTAGAACTCGATTATTTGCAAACCGCCTTAATGTAGCCTCTTTCGGCAACAAGCAAACGTGACTATGTATATGCGTCATAAAGCACATGCAATATATTATGTTCACTGGATTGTCACTATATCACAAGAGTGCTGTTACGGTCATTTTGAAAGCGGGGTTTCTGTGGTATTGTTTAGACATATTCAGTGAAACCTGTGTAGGGGTAATTCATATGAACAATACTTTAATACTGATGACAGAAATGTAACAGAAACTTATATTGTTAAGGAGTATATTCAAATATAGGTTATATTTACAATAATGGCAAATCATGTTGAAAAGACTAAGTAGAATATTATGATAAATCAAAATAGCTATGATCTGGTTTACAGTTACAACTGTATTAGATAATCGAACTTATGAAGGTTCTTCATTCAGCGCCAGTACCATACAAAAAAGTCCCATGGATAAATCAACACGTCTCTGATACAATGTACCAGATGCAAGCAACATTTCTTCAGTCGTGGACACAGGATCATTATGAAAGTGCCCAAAAGGAACAAGAACCGCACGAGGGCGGAACAGACAGTCCGTGTGACGGGCTGCATCTGAAATAACAACAAGCATTGTCACTAAGGTGACATAATCCCCCGCCGCAAATTATCAAATCAAACTTGTAAAGTAATGAAAGTTTAATGTCAACAAAAACATTATCTTGCTCTTTAGTTGTTCAAACACACACATATTTTCAAGTCTGACTTTGACATGAATGTCATAGTGTATGCAAAACTAGAACTAAAGAAATTGCTTGAAAAACATTCAAGGGTCTTGAAAGTCTATGAAGAAAATTCAGTGAACCGTTCTTAAAATATCTTGCTGACAATTCAGGTTAACATTCTGAAATCTTCATAGTATCGTCGTGACCCTACAAATTATGTGAAGGTCACCAAACTTGACTTGGCCCTGGGCCTTCCATAGATGAAGCATTGTTACAAATATGAAGAAAATCCACTGAATATCTTTTGCGATATCTTTCTGACTATCTTAAAAAGCAATTTAACATGCTGAAATCTTCAAAGTGTCTCTGTGACCTTGAACATTAAGTGAAGGCGCCTTCCCTGGATAAAGCTTGGGGTTGAATATGAAGAAAATCCAGTGAACGGTTCTTGCTTTACATGCAGGTTTACATGCTGAAATCTTCATAGTGTCGCCATGACCTTGAAAATTATGTGAAAAGTCACCAAAATCGACGGGGCCCTGCGCCTTCCCGAGATAAAGCTTGGTATTGAATATGAAGAAAATCCAGTTAACGGTTCTTGAGAAAGTTCCCTTGTGACCTTGAAATAAAGGTCAAGGTCACCAAACCTGACTTGGACCTTTCTTATAGTGTGATAAACCCAGGTACCAAATATGAAAAGAATCGAGTGAACGGTTCTTAAGATTTTCAATTCGTACGTACGTAGGTACGTACGGAGCCTAATACTGTATCCCCCGCTTCGTGCTAAATGCGTGGCGGGGGATAACAAGCTTAGAGAATATCTCATTAACTGCGAGGAATTATCAGTTCATCGTGAATAAATTGTGTGGCTCGAACACGTGTGACGAAGGACAATATCAGAGTTTCAAGATGTACGTACTTTAAAACAAAAAGAAACTGTTATCATTAAGTAGTGACATTGTGCATTGTGCACTGATGACACCATACTATACACATTCCCAGTATAATATCGCTTAAATTGACCAATACATCTACCCATAAATAGGCAAAAAAAGTACATGCACATGTCAGCAATCTACCCTCAATGCCTACCCTTGTCGAAACTAGGGTAATTGCCCCTCAATACGCAACACAGATGGTTTATGCCCGGACTGTCGACAACAAGAAATAATCCGTCCAAATTACTTGTCGACAGTCCATGAAAAGGGAGGTGATGTTCTACATGAGTGACTTCACTCACAGTGTTCTCGAAAATAACAACCAATTAAAACAGAGTGTGACATATATAGCAGACAATATATTTATTCAGTCAATATAACAACATGCATTTATCATGCATGTATCGTATGTCATACAATATAACATATTTGTATATATATTTCATAAAGCTCACACAATATATTTGTGTGTGTGTTTTATATAAATAAGTGATTTCTGCAGGTGTATAAGTAATCAATATATAAAAGATGAGTCCAGTTATTTCTTCTTGGCAAAACCCCTTTATATGTGCACTAAAGTAATCTGAATGTTCAGTCCAGATGAAGCAACTCTGACACACGGTCTGTGTAATTCAAATCAGTAAGTCTGTCGGCAAGAAACTCGGCCTTCAAGGATCGAATCCTAGCGTCGATGATTAGGTAGCGACGTTTACGGACGGGATCTCTCTGCTGTCCTTGGATCTGCTGAATTTTTACTTCAGTAGATGACTGTTCTTTTTGTAGATTTTTGTAGCATTCGCACAACCTCAAATACATTCATGGCATACTTGTTGATTGTGTTGTGCCAACCTTCCAAATTATTGTTAGTTCTGTGTCCATCATTTTCAAAATGATTTCAAGTTGGCAGTGTCCATGGACCTTCTACCCAGGTGGTAGTAACGTAATCCATCAGTTGTGTCGCCTTTTCACCTAGTGGTGCGTCTGCAATGGCATCAAGCCAGACATCTTCAACTTTATCCAGAGGCACTAAAGGTAGAGCTGCAGCTAGACGCACTAGTCTTTTCACATTGTTGTCTGACTTTCTTGGTGCGACGCCAGATGCACTGGGTGTAATGAAAGAAGCAGCCACGAAGCTGAGTATTTGGAAATACAATACTGGAGGCGTTGTGAGATGCACGTTCAAAGACCAACGGAAACACATCAGGAGAAAGCTGAAGTCCCTGAGTTGCTGCAGCCTGTTTCAGATAGTCAAACACACTTGTGTAGGTCGCTTCTGTTCTGTTTGGCAATAGTCCAACTTAATTCATTTACTCATGACACGAGCATAGCTGTAGCCACCATAGCCACTTGAAGACCACTAAGCAAACATTCTCTTTCACTAATTAACACCGTCACGGTATGTTGACCACGCGATGTCGACACTCCGGGTTTTTTGTTTTGTCGACAGTTAGGAACATCCTGTTTTTCATTTGGCGACAGATCGGGCTGACACCACACAGATAGCGAAAGGTGCATACTAAGTTACATCAATGAGCTTGGCAAAGACGGTAAAAAACAAGGATCAAATGATGCCATACTGTCACCTAGGATAGTCATTACGGTCACCACACAATCTATTCATAATTGCAATTCAATGGAAATTCTCACTTTGATGAGCATAAGCAGTGATTTGTCATGAGCATCAAACGGAAAGATTTCTACCTCAGGTCCGAGACTCATCCAGCAGTATGGAATCATTAACAAAATGAACATTGCCACTGAGGTCACCCCCTACATCCTATACGCATTACTGTTTGACTACTAGTAGAAAGAATAATACCCGAAATTGCATACCGAAATACATTTCCTGTAGTAGACCTTCGTTCTGATGAAGTCAATGCCACCTACATCCTCACAAACCAGCTCTAGCTTACTCAAGTTCATATCAGTGGAACAAAAACAAATTAGCTTATATAAAAGTCGTGCCACTTTAAAACATGTTGCCTCTAGCTATCTCGATAAGAACATCATACGCATTACAATGCTTTGGAATAATGTCGACAGTGCAGTTATTATAACTAACGAACGAACGAACGATGATTATGGGAGAGTGACGTCATATCTTTATTTGGTAGAAGATTGGTTGTATTGAGTTGACTTGAGATGTGATTGACTGTAACAATAAACAAAACTAACTTAGATTCACATACAGCAGTAATGTCAATTGTTACAACAGTACATAACTAGTCTTAACGTATTACGGATTACATAGTTTTCATTCATTTAGTTACAATAACTTATATGATTACCAAATCATTGCAAACATATCAGTTCATGGTGTTTTCTTACCGTTTTATATGCGCCCTCACGAAGACGAACTTACTAGCTTGCCTGACGACCATGCATGTCGCCACGAGACCTTCGAAACATATGACAAAGCACCTGTAATTATCTGCCCTTTAATCACCTGTAATTATCTGCCCTTTAGTTTTAAATGCTCTGCGCCAAAATGAGATCACTTGAAATCATAAATCAAACCAGATCCTTACAGCAGTTCTGAAAGATAATACCCGGTTGCTGCTAGCAACATTAAAAAGCGCAACAGAATGTCTCCCACCCCTAATTGTGAAAGGAACCGCCGGAAAATAAATACATTATATTCAACGTAAAAACAAACTAGAACTAGATAGGCAAAAGTAATAACCACCAAATGTGTAATTGTATAACATGTGTTTGGTGTTTATTGGTCTGACAGTGCATTCTATAGCATACAGATAATTTCATTAACTTAGTGTTCAAATTTGGACAGTGTTTTTTTAAAACTAATGTTTGATTGTTAGATTTATATCTATACATATCTATGTCATACGGTTAAAAATCACATGTCAGTCCATTGGCCAATCGCTAGTCTGTCGTACAGACCCTGAAGCAAATATATCCAAGAAAGCCCACGCAAGTCTAGAAAATGTGGCAAGTCTAGATTTCCTCTGCTTCAAGGGTCTGTACCAATCTGCTGAATTCACCAGCCAGAATATGGCTTGTAATTATCAGTTGATCTCTAGCTGTCACTAGTGTTTAATATTACCTCATGGGAGCCCCCAACCCCCCACACACACACACACACTCACCAAGACCCCACGCTGTGCCAAGGCCTCCTGCTTCTGCCTGTCCTCTCACTCCAGACAAAAAACGTGTGAGATTACACCAGAGACGTGATGACTTATAAAATCTGAGTATTTTCTTGAACTGTTTCATTTCACACTGGCGAGGAGAGGGGATCATTTCAAAACGTTTTCCATCTCAGGGTAAAAATGAATTGGAACTTTGATGAGGATGAAAGCAAATATACATAGCATTCGTCCAAATCAGAACACAATGATTGAAAGGTACTTAAGTGGTGAAGATGTGTTGTTTGTTCTCCATCCAGGAGTGGAAAATCACTGACATTCGAAATTCTCCCTATTCAGACAAGTCAGTAGTAAATATTGGGCCATTCTACTGTTGGTTGTGTCATCCTCGATTTGCATGGTGAAGAGACAAACAGAGAAATATAAATCATTAGGCTCAAAGCAGTGTACCTCAACGATGTAGGCGTTTGTGACTTTATCCATAAACTTTGAAAAGACATTGTCATGGGGATCATATGGCATATTGTTATCCCCCGCAACAACGAAGTTGCGGGGAATATAGAAACGAGTTCCGTCCGTCCGTCAACCATGATCCCTAGATGTGCCTTTTGGGGGCTTAGACCCAGATATGAATGTTACTTTTTGTTGTTTCCATGGAAACGTGACTATGAGAATGTCATCTTGTCCGAAACAAATCTCCTAAATTATTCATGCTAGCTTCATCAAACTTGGTACACATATCAAGCATGATCCATAAATGTTCCATGTGATCGTTAAACCCAGATATGAATTATATTTTGTGCGGTTTCCATGGAAACGTGACTTGGTACACATGGTAAACTTGG